ATATCTTTACTCTTATTTTAAAATTTTAAAATTTTAAAATTAATATATTTGCGGGCCGGGCTGGGATAAAAATTTAAATTAATTAAAGCGGGCCGGGCCGGGCTGGCAAAAATTTTTAACCCTAATTGCGGGCGGGCCCGGGCTGCAGAATTAGGAATTTGCAGGCCTCTAATTTGGACTCGTTTCAATTATCAACTTCCAAGGGTTTTAAATATATTATCGACCTTTTATTGTATCAGTACAGCAGATCGAGATTGTGAAATAAAACCACAAGCAGTACAAGGCCTAAATCATTAAATATACTAAATTGTTATTAAAAAAATAATTTTAGTACGTACGTAATATTCAAGATACGTATTACAAAAATTTCTAAAATTACAGATTTTTTTGCAAATCTGCATATATTTATTATTTTTTTTTTTAAATATACTTGTTTATACGTACTATTATAAAATTGACATTTTTTTTAAATTTATGATTAACTCCATGCACCCTCTCTTTCGGATGCGCTACTTTTTTTAATAAAATATTTTTTTGATCAATTGAAATCGAGTAAATCGAATTGAGTACAGTGCGTGAAAAAGTCTATATGTTAGCGCATCTAAAAGAAATTGTAAAATCGCAGCAATGAATTATATAAAGTAAGAAAGGAACATACGTAATTATTCCGTCGATAGACTAATTTAGAAATATTTGACCCTAGCTAAGAATGTTTATAAAACTAAACCGATTCAAGATTAGAAATTACCTGTCATCACAACACGGAAGCGCAAAAAAAAAAAAAAAGTAGGTTTAAATTATTGATACAGTAACTCGAGCTGTAACCCGGATTTAGAACAAGCAAAAAAAATAGGACAAGAATATTTTATAACACCTAAAGTCGATACATGATAATAATAGCAAAGACGGTACCTGAATGAATGATTTAAAAAATATAATTACATTATTATTGTATTAATTTCAATTCGAAGAATAATTATGTAAACACAATGGATCACGGAATATTCTTTATTACATCACCATGCTTAAGGATAAACACAACGTATCATATAGTATAATTATTAAGTAAATTAATAAACGATTCATTATTCTTTTTTAGTATAAAGTTAGAGAATAAAAAAACTTCAAAGAATTTTTAACGAGTTACACGTGAATCAATGATATAACATGTGAATAGATAACGAGATATTTACCTGTTCTGTGCCACGAATAAATCTGGTTAACCTGTCCAATGCTTGAGGTTACGAGTAACCCGAGTGAAGGGGGTCTGACAAAAAGTCTTGGTTTACCCTTTTATTGAACATATATTCTTTTCCTTCATAGTGACCTCGATGGTATACAGGACTTAAACATAGATTCCGAACAACAGCTGTAAATTAAACGGTGTGGCTGAGCCATTAGTGTGATGGCTTTTTTTCCTGGAATGCCTTGAATAGATAGATGATTATCATCGAATTATCGAAGTTAGTGTTTAATCTTACCGTTACGGCGTCTTTTAACTTCTTTTTAGATTTTTAGATCAAATTATGAATCCAGGTATTTTCTGATTTTTTTTCTTCGGTTCGAAATCTCTTCAGGATGACTAAATATAAGATGATAATATAAGGGATGATAATAAGATACAGTAAATATAATTATTAATAAATTTTTATAATTATTCATAAATTACCATAATTACTATAGTTATCACGCTTATCTTTCAGAGAATGTTAAATAATGAAAATTAAGGCATTATTAAAAAATCAGTTACCTTTATTTCCTGATATTTTAAAAAGAATGGAATTGCTTTTGTAATATTGATAGAATTCAAATTCAGACAAGGTTTGTTGTCTTTCAAGAATTAACTTTTTCGGAAAATTAAAAAATATTCAAAAAGGAAAGGAGTTAATTATATTGAATTAAAAAAACCAGTGTGAAAACATTTAAATTACAAACCGTTAATTAATTAAACCAGCACGAAAATTAATTAGAATTTGGTTTTTCTTTTTCTTTTTTTTTTTTGTTTTTTTTTTAATAAGAAAAAAAAAGAAAAAAAGTGATAGATAAAAGCAACGGAAAATTTATTACGTAATAGGTAAAATAGCGTTTTTGTTGTTTGCGCAAAGCCACCTTAGGTACCCTTAAGTATAAATGACTAGCATCTGATTTTTTTTTTTTCTACGTAATACTATAACAATGAGTTTCGATCATTGTGAAACCGATTAACCAAAAATCGATTTTTACATAATCCACTAACAATATTACCGACCCGTTGAAGCTACTGGTATCTATATAATTATATATAAACAGTAAAACCTCCTCCTTCTGTCTGTCTGATTAAAACCATTATCACTGTGGAATTTTTTAGAAATATATAACCACTGTTATTATTACTAATATCAACTTGACGTTTTTCAATAAATCATACTCTGATCCCATCATCAATATCAATGAATATAATTAACGTTAATTAACTTTGATCAACATCAAAATCTTACCGTACCCTTTAAGTATTTATTTATTTATTTTTTTCTACATATATTGTGTCGAAAATAATACAGATAATCGGTGAGGTTTTTTTATTTTATTTATCAACTTTTACTTTTATTTATTTTGCTTTTTGTTTTAAGTTCACTGTTTGTATCGTCTATTTTGTATCATCTGTTTTTTTATTTTTATCTTTTTTTTCTATTTTTTTTTTTAAAAAGGAATCATTTATTCGCAATGACAACGATTCAAACAAATCACCCTACACAAATTCGTCAGCGTGGCAAAGTCAAGTTTTTCAACATGCAAAAAGGTTACGGATTTATCATTCCTTATAACCCTCCCGAACATGATAAATGTGAAGGTGATAATTTAATTTCGCGTTTTTATCTTAAATTCGATATTTTAAAATTGTCTTGTTGAAAATATTGTATTATTCATGGTCGTTTAACTGCTCAATTCATTTTTGTATCTCCTTTTATTTTATTTCTGTTTTTTTTTATGTTTTTTATTTTTATTTTTTTTTTGTGTCATTTCATTAAGTTTTTGTGCATTATACATCGATTCATAATACTGGGGGTTTTAAGAGTCTTTCTGAGGTATCATTATCATAAGTGAAATCAGTCTCATTCAGTGCAATTTACGCGTCTTTCTGTCGCTTATCAAAAACTTCATTTGTCACTCTTTCTAATTATGACTTGATCCGCGTTTCGCTTGCCTTTTCAGGGTGAAGATGTAAGTATTTTCAAAACTTTGAATATCGATATTAAGATTATTAATTATAAAAATATTGATTTTAATTATATATATATATTATTATTATTATTA